TAGATAAGCTACAAATTTATTTTATCTCATTGTAAATATTTTTCTTGTTTTCATTAGAGATATCCTGTAATCTCGTTCCCGTTTTTTTTTTCATGTATTGTAAAGTTGTGTGAATTTTTCAATAAATTCTTTTGTCAAAACCACTTGCAATCTGATTCATAGCTGAGCGCCTTGCCGCCGGTTACACTTGAGTTTTCTAGTTTTCCTTCCCAACAAAAACTTACACACTAATTTCCAATGGAATCAAAGATATAATGGCGCAATGAGAATCTTTGATTTACAAGCCATTATACTTACAGTCAGGGAATCCTTAAGAGCACCAGCAGCGTCAGATAGAATACCAACAAGCTCATCTTTGGTTTGCATTACAATTTCCCGGTCCTTTCTTACTTTCTTTAGCTCTGTTTCTACACTTTCTGCTTTGTCATACTGGTTCTAAAACATCAATAAGAAAAAATATATTCATGATAAAGCAATAGGCTGTTTTCTTAAGTTTGCATGCTGTCCAATCTTGAAAAGCCACTTAACTGAAAAATGAAAATTGAGAAGCCAGTTCTATATTTAAGGAAGAATAATAAATTTTATGAATTCTTATCCCAAAATCTCATAGAAAAGTATGATTTTTCTCATTATGAGGCCTCTGTTCTGGTATTGTGGCCCATCAAGTTTCTTTAATTTGGATGAGTGTGCTACCTTGAAAAAAAGGTTTATTTTTACTTCCAAGAGAGCATTCATTTTTGAGAAGGGGTATGATGGAGGAATTGAAGGGAGGGCCATCAAGTCTTTACGCAGCCACAACATTACACCATCTATATGAATTTAATTTCTCTGTAGAAAATCATTTTTTTTCTTTCTTTCTTTTTTTTATTTTTTATTTATTTTTTTATAGAAAATCATGGAATAACACTTTTGTATGATAATAACTGCTTATGAATCAAAGTGTTGACAGAAAGAACACCAATCGCACCATACCTTTAATTCCTCTTTAATGCTGTATACTTGAGATTTGAGCAAGTTTATCTCACTCTCTGCCTCTTTGCTTAGCGTCAGTTGCTCTTCATATTCTGCTAGTAATTCTTCCTGTTGCTTTGACTTCTCTGCTAGCATACGGATAATCTAAATACACAAATCAAACGATCACATTTCCATAATTATATTTTGCATGTTGAATAAACAGAATATTAGAGATGTCAACTAGATGTATTGTAGTGAGTAGCTTTGGACAGGTAAGTGAAACATGACAGACATTATACTGTATAAAGTTTGCACCCTCGACTTTAAAGACCTTCATTTTCATAATAACTGTCCTTGAGGCAATGCTTACAGATTGGATTTTAAAGGGCTTCTGAGGGAAGCTAAGGAGGACTTAATGGAACCTGCTGCAGCTTTCTGAAATAGCAAATGGTGCATTGTGGTCTAGCTTGGGTACAAACATTTTGATGTGGATTAATCGTAGTAACCCTAACTAAACCAGAATGCAGCCTGTTTATCCAGCCAAGAAAAGGTCTTGGTTGATGCATGAAGGACTAGCCTTAGTGCCTCTCATGTTTTGAACTGTGCATGGACTAGGTCACACCAAGGTCACAGCACTGCCAGACCAATCACATTGTGTTAGAAAAAAAGTCAGCAAATAAAAATTCTAGAAAACATCACAGTTGCAGAAAGGTACACATAGGGCACCAACTTTGTCACAGTCATACAAAAACTGTACTATATATTTTTATATTCTTTTATCATACCTTTTGGTTGCTACTGTTCTTCCTAGCTAATTCTTTCTCTGTATGTTCCAGCATATCTATCTGTAATTTCTGTTTCTTTTCCTTCATTCTCAGTTCATCATTCTCTTGGATAAGCTCCATTGTCTTGTCTGACATCTTAGCTAGTTGCGAATTGATCGAGACATTCTCACGGATGGTTCTCTTTGTGGTTTCTGCCATTTGCTTGTTGGACACTTTTCTGAATTCTGCGGCAACTTGATTCAGTCGTAACACCATCTCCTTCTTGAGCCTAAAAAGATTTAACAATTTATTCCCAAGCTGTAGGCGAATGCGTCGTATTACTGAGCATAGCATGAAAAAGCCGTTTTATGTTTTTTTAATAGAAAGAAACAAACTATTATGTAGTTTTCAATGCAGCTTTCTTATACTTTTTTATGGATGTGCCATAGTGACAGCACAATACTTGGTTCAATAATACAGCACAGTTCTTGACCAATCAGAGCACGCACAGCAAGACGACTATAAGATCCAATATACAGATACTGTAAACCTCCCCTTTACATAAATTTCTTCTTTTCATTTTCAAAATTTAGTCATAGACTCTAAGAAACATATGATATATTATTAATAGATTCTTACCTGTCTTTATCTACCACCGCTTTTCTTTCGAGGTTATAAATAACTTCCTTATGATCCTTTTGCTGTTTCTCCAGCTCTTCCTCCATCTTGGCAAACTTCGCCATCAAGTCTTCTTTCTGTATACGAAATTCTTCGAGCGAAGCTAATTTCCCACCTAATACCATATTCTCAGAAGTCAACTGATCTTTAATCTCCTGCATTTCAGTCCGTAAAGTTGCTAACTGGACTTCAAACTGGTCTTTCTCGGCATCCTTCGCCTGTTGTAGACCAATGAGTCTATCTTGTAAGTCAGCTATCTCGTCTGCCCTTTGTTCCAACTGCTTCTTCAAAAACGACACGATTTCTTTCTTATCTGTCGTTTGCTGTTCATAATTGGACTTGTAGTCCTCGTTCCTCAGTTCTAGTTCGTCGCATTTCTTTTGATACCTCGCTAAACGACCCTCTAAGTCTCTAATTTGGATCAAGAAATACTCCTTCGATAATTCGGTGAGGATTTCGGCCGACGGAGCCGACGCAGCAGACTTACGACCGCTCTTTTTGCCACTTTTCTTCTTCTTACCACTCTTCTTACCCTTCTTCTTCGGAGGCATGACTGTCTAGTTAAATTTTATCGAGAATATCTTGTGTTAAAATGAATATTTTCCACGACTGATTCCAGTTTCGTGTTGTTTCTAAACATGGCCGAATATTAACCATACTTGTTACCATAACGACAGCTATCAAACAAGGACTAGTGCCTAGTATTACTCGGGCAAAGAAAAAGCAAGGCACCCCACGGCTCATCTTAAAGAAACGATGGCGGCGGAACGAAATGAAAAGAGGTGGATGGGGGAGGGGGTTGGCTGGGCCCTACCCAAACTCTTAAGTATATTAGCCATTCCGGGGTAGAGGGAAAAAATGCGTCGAGCACAGGTTTTCCGGGCAGCCTCTGTATCTGTGACACCGGGCTTCCTGTGGAAAAAATAAATTACAAAAGACGTAGCTATAGGAAATCGCTTTTGAGAGAATTGCTTTTCTAAGAAAATTTATGTTCAAAGATAAAAGTTTTATAACTAATAAAGCTTTTTGAGTGGTAATATCGTTTTTCCACAGGAAGCCCGGTGCCACAGATACAGAGGCTGGGGAAACCTGTGAGTCGAGTTGGCAGTACAGTGCATTTTGGGTCTCTTTTAGGGGACAAAATAGCCGCCATCTGGGAAATATGTTCCCTATAACAGCTCAACTCGACCCATTTCCCCCCTCAATTTCGGAATGGCTAAACGTAAGAGTTTGAGGAGGAATTTTCTCCTTCCCTTCTCATCCACCTTCCGCCGTCATTGTTTTTATGGGCCATAATGTTAGTTCCTAGCATGTCCCGTGCTAGGAGGCTTTACACCCGACTGACATGAGATAAAGTCGTCTTCATTCATAATATTTAGGACCGGCTATATATTCCCTCTTTATATATATACGCTTACTTAGGTTTCGGCTAGATTTGCTCTAAGTTTCGCTGGCTATTTCTTTTCCGTTGCAATCTCTCCCGGCAGATTTAAAAAATGCACTAAGCTATCGTAACCGGAAGTGCATGACTATTTGAATCCGAGTTTGCAACGGAAAAAATTAGCGAGCGAGACTTAGGAGTCTAGGTTTCGGCAGAGGAAAAAAGCTAAGCAGGGAATGTACTTTCAACCTACTTACATACCCAACATATACTTTAGCCCACCCCCTCCCCCTATATATACCCCTAACAATTACCCTACCATCGTTCCGTGGTATATGATTCCTAGTCTTAAGGGGCTTTGTAAATACTCAATTATTCAATCAATTCATACTGTAATTTATTGAAGTCAGGATTCATAATATAATTACTTAAAATGTTTGTCTCTGATTTAAAATATTTTGAAACAATTTTACAAACGTTTCGTTTCGTAAACACGGCTCTCCTTTCAATGAACTTTATTTCGGAGTTCGAATTTTCAATATAACTATATATTCCTAATGAATAATATATCAATAATAATAATACATATAATATAATAACATATAATCTGACCAATAATATAGGCTGGCAGACTATATCAGCTGCTAAAGTTTGATTGCCTGAGAGAACAATAAAACGCTAATTTTAGGGGTTCTTAGAATATTTTGATTCTTACTGCTAGAGGTTTCTCTCTTCATGAATAGTTCATTGGCTGCGATTGCAACCGAGTCTTTTAGCCACACCTGAACGGATGTCGGACAGACGAAGGGAGTAAATAATGGGGTTGATGAGGGACTGCAAATGAAGCAAGGTTAAAGAGATACCATGTAGAAATCTGACGTTATCAGGCCAGTTGCCCTTCACAACTCCTACGATCTTTAAAATCAATATTGGACACAAACACGCCACGGATGCTAGCACTATCAAGCCTAGAGTGAAAGTGCGTTTGCATTCCTTGATCTTACTTTGCTTCATGGCTACAGATTCTTGCTGGGCGGAGATGGCTCTCATCTGTCGACGGGCCGTCAGGTGTATTTTAGTGACGCAAAAAAAGACGACGACGAAGCTGGGACCAAAGGTAAGGATCAAAGGAAGCTGTCTTGTCCCAATGGATTCAGAAACCTGCAACCAAGTGCTTAAGATTGTCGTTCCCACAAGAACCGAGCTAACTGCCGTTGCTATCATCAGTTTCTTGGAGGTGACTGAAGTATGATAGAACAGGGGATGCTCTATGTAAAGGTATCTTTCCAGGCTGACGATTACCATGGTCACAGTTGTCCAGGCAGTGCAGAGTAACGCAGATACCGCATAGGCCATGGTTAGTTCACAGATGTACGAAGACTGGACTGTGAAACAGATCATCAAAGCAGCATACAGCGGTTGTACGACGAGTCCTATCAGAAGATCGCCGAAAGACAGAATGGTCACCAGGATGTAGTAACTATTAGATCTGAGCTGTTCATTTTTCACCACGGTCCAGATTACTAGCAAATTGATAAGGACAGTGAGCGGAGAGATGACAATGTTGATGGCAATTAAAGAAATCCATTTTGGGACGACTGATGCTGGAAGATGGGTAGTATTTGTTGGATCAAAATCGAAAGTTATCAGACACTGAAAACTTGAAATGGTTTGATTTGATGTCATGACCGATAAACTATGTTTGTTGGATCAAAATCGTAAGTTATCGGAGACTAAAAACTGGAAATGGTTTGGTTTGATGTGGATGACATGGCCGACAAACAGAATGTGTCCCGAACCTTTCTCTTCACAGAGTTAATTTTCTGCCCAATGCACGCAATACTTTTGTTTCTTCAAGTAGTACTTTCTTATTCTGTCAAAATAACTCAATAGAGTTTTTTCGTACGAGAATTTACGTTTTTTGGAAATTAGTATTACTTAGAAGACAATACCCGTTTTTAATATTTTAAAATTCTTAATGGAGCAATAGGAAGTGTCAATTGTTTCAACTAAATCTACGTTTATCCTCATAAAAAATATTTCATGATCTGGGCGATTAAAAAGCTTTCCTTATTATACGACTTTCATCCTCAATTTCCTGTTTTTGGTGATGTCAGCGGTAGGAAATTATCCTTCCCCCTCCACCTTCCGCCACCATTATTTTAATGATGGGCCATGATGTTTCAAGCACGTCACGTGCTAGGGCTTTACACCCGATAACATGCGTTAAACTCGTCTTCATTCATAATATTTAAGACCGACTATATATTTCCTCTATATGTAAGCACAACCTTCGTGCTTTCCCGGTACAACTTCAAGAATTACAATTTCTTTCGAGGAAAAAGTTTTCTTTTGCTTAAATATAGAGTGAGGGTCGAAGGGCATTTCTTTTCGTCTCTCAATGGCAAGATTGTACCATGGGAGGAGTGGGTAGTGGAGAATGTATTTAGAAAACCAACTAGACCATTTTCCAATAGCGGTTTCCACGGACAGTCCTAACATGCTGCAACAATATTTTGTACTCTTGTTGTTTCCAATTCCTGGAAGAACTGTTTTTTCCCCGACTTATATTCTTCTTCTTTTCCATGTAATTCATTTACAATGTTTATCCGCATTTCCATCCCACAAGGCTTTGCGATACCTTGTACAATATCGGTGTGTTCCATGATTGCAGACTCATTTACTCAGGGTTAGCCTCRAATCAGTGTTTAAATATTCACAAATACCAACGGTAAAGTAAAGAACGCACATCTTCAACAATAAAAACAACACTTTGAAATTCCACAGACCTTTCCTGGAAGATAAATATTCACAAGCGGTAACTTAAAGTAAAGAATGCACAAGTTCAACAGCACAAATTAGCACTTTGAAATTCCGCGGACCTTCACCGGGACCCGTAACTAWATGTAGGTCTACACAAAATGAGGGCTATCCCTAAGAAACAGAGAACTCGAAACTGAAGTATTATTATTCACAATATCCTTTTTTATTATTTTCAAAATTGTATACTTTTTACAAGTCAGGTCAAATATAGTTACTCTACAGTCGACCGGTAATATTCACTCTGGTATATGACATGGCACACGCACAGCTGTGGAGCTATCAATAGGACCCCTTAATCAAGCCAACGTCCTAAACTCTATACAGGAGGATTGGGAGAGCCTACGTAGCAAGCAGTTGATGTTATGTATTCATAAAAATACAGCGAATCACACCTAATACAATAGATAGAACGACAATAGAATACAATAAATTTACTGAATACATTACATCAACTGTGTGCTATATAGGCTCTACCATACAGGATTACTATAGATATCTTTGTTGAGTATGTATATATGTTTCGCGTTTGAAATAATAATATCTTATTTACATAGCTGCATAGATTTGTAATGGCAATGTTTTCCAAGGAATGCAATTTTTTTAAAAAGAAGGCAAACTGCCTGTTACCCCTTTTTTCTTACCAAAAGTTTTAAGGAAAAAATGAGTCTTGAATGTATGAATCTTCGGAAGCATGTGACATCATGGCCGCCATTTTGGTTGACTTAGACAAAAAACTCAGTTTTTTTTTTGCTGTTTTTTTTGTGTGACGTGACAGTGCTGTCCGAGCATTTTGATCGAATACACACCAATCGTTTACGCTACATGGATCGTTCCACGGACATCATTATTTTCTTCCCGTGATTTCTCTGTTCTACTGTCATATCAATATCATGGCAGTCGTACGCATGCGTATTGGCAAGAAGAGAATGATGGCAAAAAAGACGGAGGGGAGGAGCAAGGGGTTTTATTTACCCAATGTCCCCCTTCATATGTATATCTTACAAAGTTTTTGTCGCTGAGCTTGGCGTTGTCGAGTTGTTTCTCTCAGCGTCCCAGCTATGTCATAGTAGATTGCATTGTGTGTAATTGTTTGTCGATTTGCTTCCGTCGTTCCTCGCTGGCTCGTAGACGTTCTTCCAGGCTTGCGCGACTAAGAATATAAAATTTTATTAGTGTAGGTTTGAGCTAAGAGGTGGCTATCAATAGACGTCATTTTCGGTCTGGCGTGGGATTTTTACCAGCGGAATGGAAAGTTTTCTCTGGAAATGTACATCGATGATTGTGTATGGGGTCAGCGTTCGTTCCTCGCTTAAGACTCATTTAATCAGGCTTAGCCTCGATTTTGTGAAAAATATTCACGTGTTTCAGTCAAGGTCCGTCGAGTTTCAAAGTGTTCGTATTGTTGAAGCTGTGCATTCTTTACTTTACCGTTGGTATTTGTGAATATTTAGACACTGATTCGAGGCTTAGCCTGAGTAAATGAGTCCGTAATCAAGAAACACAGCGGTAATTTGGAACTCGAAAAGGGTCTATTGATACAAGCAATACGCCCAAAAAGTTACAAGATCTTTTTCAGAATAAACGGCGTAAAGACTTGCGCAGCTCGTTTGCAATCATTTCTAAGAGAGAAGAACATATTAAAAGAAAACAGAAATCTTTGATTTAATTTAGCCAACATAGGGACTACGAGAAAAAGCATCTTACCATTGAGTAGGGTCAAGACCGTTTCCGTCGACACCATTCTCTTGTACCAGGCCTGCCGCCTTCTTTTTATTTTCAAGCTGCTCTTTCAAGGTCTGTTGTTTGCCCGAGTTATCGTGGCGTCTAGCTTCCTGTCTCTGAGGCGGAGATGAAGACGTCGAATTCATAGATTTTGCATGCATCCTGTCAGTTCTTGAAGGTGACATTAGCAGAGGTACTTTGTCTGATTCCAATATATTATCAAGAATCTCGATTCCCGTTGGTCCGTTGTGTGACGAAGCGTGACTTCTGTTGTCGAACGTGCGTGACCGTACATGCATGCTGTTATTAGGGGCGCCTCGTTCTGGAAAGATGTTGTCACGCGAATCGAAGAAATCGTCATTGTCCAACAAACTAAACACTGAATTCTCTGACAGGTTATGAAGATTGTGGTCAGAAATGCTTTTGGTTAGTCCTGTGTGATTGTAGTCGGCCAGTGACCTTGGCGATGTCACGCGTCGAACATGTGATCCGTGCGCTGGTTGTAGTCGAGGGGACGGTCGAGGGGAGGTTGCTCCAAGTCGATCAAAGTGAGGTCGAGTACCGAACATTGCTCGTTCGTATCCAGATATTCTTGCTTCTAACCGTGCAATCTAGAATAAGATAACTCGTTTTCAAAACCTCGATGGGAATAGATAGACTATGACGTACGGCGACTGTGAAAAGGCAGGGCAAGGCAGGGCAGGGCAGGGCACATGGAAAGGTAGACTTTTAGCCTAACAGGTTTTGCACAGGACGGCAGCCATTTTACATGAGAATAAATTCACTGAGTCCCGAGAGTAAAGGGATTTTGTTCTGTCATCTAACCACAGACAACCCAAGCTGTATAATGGGCGTGCTGGACCTGACCCGACCCTATCCCTCCCTGCTTCTCTACTCTCCTCTCCCTTTGAACCTATTTGGCTGATTTCGGATGAAAAAAGCGACTATATAAAGCGCCACAGTACCTCAGCGTCTTTAATAACCAAGGCTTCATTAATGGCCTTCAAATCGTCTTGATAAACATTGAGTTGAGACGCAAGGTGTTTGTTCTCTTCTACGAGGGTGGTCATCTCTTCTTTACAGTGTGCCAGTTCTTGGGTTAGAAGTCTCTCTTTCTCTTGTAGCTCGTTCACGACGAGACGTTGCTCCGCCTGCATTTCCTCTCGTTGTGATAGCATCTTAGCATGGCTTTCTTGGAGTCTCTTCAACTAATGAAATAGATACAGTTAGTAATGGCCGCGCGCACACACGCACACACACGCACACACACACAAATTTTCCACAAAAAAAGTTATGGCCGCGCACACACACACACGCATACACAACACAGTTAAGTAAAGTAAAGATTGCACAATTTCAACCATACAAATACTTGGAAATTCCATGGACTTTCACCATTTAACACATGAATATTCTTTACAAAATCGAGGTTATAGTATTCTCGAGCAATGAGAGCGCGCGTAGCGAAGTGACTATATAGTAAAAATATACAATAAAAACATCAAAATACCTCTTGTTCCTGTGAGACTTGCTTCATCTCGTGTTGGTGATTTGTTTTTCTCATCTCCTGCACACATCTTGCTTCAGCTTCTGCCTCTCGTACCTGTGCCGAACCAAGATCCTTTGCAAGTCGTGTACAGTCGTGTTCTTTAGCATTGAGTAAGGTATGAGCTTCGTCTAGTTCCTGGATTAGTTCTTGTTCTCTGCGCTGGTACTTCAGGAGGTCTCGACGCGCTTCCATTAGTTCTGCGTGCTGTGTGTGTGTAACAAGATAACAAAATGAAATGAAAGGATGAATAAATGGAAGGTAATAAATGGAAGGTAAAGAATGGGATAACATGGGAAAGCCGAAGAAATCTATTGAAGAGAGGAGAAAGAGGAGAAGAGATGAGACTATAGGAGATGGGGAGAGGAGAGGAAAGGAGAGGAGAGGAGAGGAGAGGTGACGATAGAAGACAATAGGAGAGATCAGTTGAAAGGAATACAATGGATTTACAAACACGTAATTTCATAAGTTCGTCGATCATGTAATCTAATCCTCGTAAATCCGAGTACTTACAGTATTTTGTAGATTCTCTCTAGATAGTCTTAGTTCTTGACTTATTTCGTCTGTTTCTTGCTTCCTCTTTCGCAGCTTCTCGGCTTCCTAAGGTGTAATGCTAACTGTTTAGGTGATAGTGTAAATACAATCGTCCAGAAAACTGACCATGCCCCTTTCTCTCGCCCCCTCCCTTCAAGACAATAAGGTTCCACACATTCAACCAAGATGGACCTATCTATCAAAGTCTAGGCTAAGAATATCAGAGAACCGCCAAACATAGGAAAGTACGGTCGGTGCCGTAGAGGAGAGAGCACTCGTCTCCCACCAAGGCGACCCGATTTAGGTTCCTGCACTCGGTGTAATATGTGAGTAAAGTTGTTTGTTGGTTCTCTCTCGTGCTACGAGATTTTTTTCCGGGTTCTCCGGTTTTTCCTCCCTCTACAAAAATAAATTTCTAGCTAAATCCTAATTCGACCTATCGCTGGCCTTATCTAGTGTGTTTTAAAACCTGTTAGGCTTTCCGCCCCTCATGGGGTGGTAAATCCGATTACGTTTTTAGATTAAAAAAACATTTTCTAATAAAACGTACTTTAGTTAATTCTCCTATTTGTGCCAATCTTTTCTTCATGTCAAGCTGTTGTTGCTTGGCTGTTTTTTCGTAATGTTCCAAGCGGTTCTTTTTCTGTCTCAGAGAATCTTGTGTCTGGTCGAGTTTGGCCTTTAATTCTGCGATCTGGAAGATATAACGTTTTCAAAATACACATCTTGTAAAATGTCATGAGTAGAACTCTTGCAGCACGTCGGATCGGAATTCAGCTCAACTCACCTCGACTGCTCTTTCACTCAGTTCGTATCGAGCTTGATTCAGTGAGTGTTCCAGGACAACGACTTTCTGTTGCAGTTCACTTCTGTGTTCCTTCATTGTCATGTCTAGCTGTGAAACCTGAATATAACAAAGTAGTGATCAAGGAATGGGCAAGAAACGATCTCAGTTAATCCCTTCCATTCGTCCATCTATCTATCCATCCGTCCGTCCGTTATCCTTCCTTCCGTCCGTGCGTCGGTCCGTCCGTCCGTGCGTCGGTCCGTCCGTCCGTCCCTTCCTACATCCTTTTTGATCCAGTATATCACACGTCCATATCGGTTAATCCCTTCCATCCATCCCTCCATCAATAAACGATCTCAGTTAATCCCTTCCATTCGTCCATCCATCTATCCATCCGTCCGTCCGTTATCCGTCCTTCCGTCCGTGCTTCGGTCCGTCCGTCCGTCCTTCCCTTCCTACATCCATTTTGATCCAGTGTATCCACACATTAAATTTTATTCCCTAACCTGGGAATCTTTAGTTTTGATTTCCTTCTGACTTTCCTTCAAAGCCTGATCCAGTTCGGCAATCTGTGATTCTTTCACTTTAATATCTTTTTCCTTCTGTTGAAGTTCCTCTACACTTTCATTCAACATTTTATCCAGTTCGTTGACTTTCTTCTCCTTTTCTTCCATGACATGTTGACTAGTTTGTAGCAAATCTTCCAGCGACTTCAGTTGCGAAATGGTGTCTTTTAAATCTCCCTCAATTTTGTTGACCTAACAGGAAAAAAGATTGAAAAATTCTTGGACATATTACAGCATTGGGTATTTTCACTTTGCGCGTAGTGTATTTTATTTCAGAGCACGTATCATTCCCCTGAGTATTATTTCTTTGTTTACTAGTAAGAGACTTAAAAAATATAGGATTTAAGGGGGAGGGCAAACCAAAAATAGAAGATTCAAAAAATATTTATCCTGTTTTAATAGGGGGGCCACGCAAAAAAAATTCAGGTTGGGACGGGATCATACATTCTTTTGTTTACAATTCACAAAATCCCAACCCCCCACCCCCCACCCCCCTTCGAACGGTCCCTAACACTTTTGAACATAAAGCAATCATTGAGCAGATGTTATAGATTGAATGGGAATGTTTTATGTATCTATCCCCAGTACCACACTCTAAAACTAAGTAAATGGGATGGAAGGATGAAAAAATTAAAATCGAAGGAAAAGAGAAAGGGAAAACAAATATAAAGATAAAACACGAAGAAAAAAATATTGACAAAAGATATAAAAGTAAGAAATGAATTTTTGAATTACATGGAAGAAAAAAAAGAAAATAAATAGGAAAAAATACATCGGAAAAATGGAAAATAAATAGGAAAAATGGAAAATAAATAGGAAAAATGGAAATACCATCCCATTACCTCTTTGTCTAGCTGCGCAACTTGTTCATCCTTGTCCCTCAGGTCATCTTCCAGATGTCTTATTCGTTCTTCTAATTCTCCATTCCTCTTGGTTTGTTGAGTCAATTGTGAGCGCGATTCTTTGTATCCCAACTCTATGGTCTGTAACTGCGCAGACTTCTTGTCATTCTGCGATCTACTATCCTGTAGAAGTTGTTCCAGTTCTATCACTCTCGCAGAACTCTCTTTCATATCTCGGTGAATTTCTTTCAGAGTGGAGCTAAGTTCGTTCACCTCTCTTGTCCTGGTTTCGAGGTCACTTTCCGTTTTATTCAACCTGTGTTGTGCCTCGAGAGAATCCTGTTGCGTGGTGTTGCGTTCTCTGTGAATTTCCTCTTCGATCAGGGAAACCTGTTGCTGTAGATGGGTTCGTGATTCTTGTAATTCTCTGCAGCGTTCTTGTTCCTTCTCGAGGCTTGCTTGTCTGTCTGACACAGCTTTCTCGAGTTTTTCGATGTAAATTGTTTTTTGTTCCACCTCGGTTGTCGTCTGTTGTAAAGCGTTTCGAAGCTGCGCGATCTGAGAATAACATCAATACGATCAAAAATTTGATTCTAAATCATAAAACAAGTTGTAATGATTATTATTAAATCAACTTTAATATCTCCAACCAACGATGATTCAAAACCCCAATTATCGTTTATCATCAATAGATAGCTTCATCGTCATCGTTAGCACCAACATCATCATCGCGATCTCCTTCAAATCATCCTCATTCACCATCATCATTAATATTGTCATTATTACCATGGCAATCAAAAGCCTCGTTAATCATCATTATCCACCAAAACCCTCAACACCATCTTTCATCATAAACAGCCTCATCATCATTATCACCATCATTTCCTTCAAATCATATCTATTACCATTATCACCATTCATAATCATCAATCTTTATTCATCATCACAATCATCATCATCACCATCACCACCATCATCACCATCACTAACCATCACCATCATCATCACCATCACCACCATCATCACCATCACTAACCATCACCATCATCATCACCATCACTAACCATCACCATCATCATTGCCACCATCATCACCATCACCACAATCACCATCATTACCACCACCACCATAATCACCATCACCACCATCATCATCAACACCAACACAACCATCATCACCATCACTATCACCATCATCACCACCATCACCATCAACACCACCATCATCAACACCATCATCAACACCATCACCACCACCATCATCAACACCATCCACACCATCATCACCACTACCACCATTATCATCATTACCATCATCATCATCACCATCATCATCAACACCAACACCATCAACATCATCATCATCA